ATAATTTGAACCAATACAATATATGATTAACAAACAATATGATTCAATTATATTAGTCTACTTGAAGCTTTTTACATTTGTCCCTCTCTGTCACACACAGTACTAACTACTAACTTCTGCTCCATCTCCTCCCAGCCCTAGACATTTAGCAGCCCGACACACACACTCAGACACACACGAAAGCTTTGCATGAGCTAAAACCCCTGAAAGAGGACTGTTTTTGCAGAGCTTCTTTCTCGTGCTCCCTTTCTGTTCTCCCTCACTCATGTTTCCTCTTTTGGTGTTCTGTGTGTGTGTGTGTGTTATATATAAGGGCAGTGTGGTTTTCTCCTGGGCACCAGACTCTCCAGCGCAGCTCCTAATCAAGCCCCAGCACAAGTACTCCTGAGATCCAGGCAGCCAGTGCCAGATTGTTTCAGTTACTCATGTAGTAATATACTCTTGGCAAAAACGCCTTGAAATTTTAGTGAAGCCTTTGTTGTTGTGGAAAACCCTTTGCTAATACCATATTCTCTGTGTGCAGTTGTTTGGAGTCAGCGTTGCCTGCGCTACCAGCCACACCACCAGCCCTGGACTTCATGACCACCTCGCCTACCTCTACTCATTCTACTACAACCACCTCTTTGTAAGATCTTCTGTACTACTGTGCATTCATTAACTCTTTTGCTAATCCAAACCTTTGAGTCGGTGTACGCTCTTGAGTCCAGACCTAGCACACCTAACAGAAACTACTACCATCGCACTTGCATATTGCCACATTACACACTTTCTTTTGTGGTGTTTTGCAGATCAATAACACATTGTGCTTCTACACTCCCCATTAAATAGCTAAATATTAGCTTCAACTAGACTTTGTGCAACATAACCTCTCACTTGAAGAGGATGATTGACAGTCACAAAGGTTTGGAAAATATGTGTTCCTAATAGCAATGATGTCATTTCTTTTTCCAAAGCAATTAAGCTGTAGGAACAAAACAAATAATAATAATGAGAATTTTGTTTGCCAATGTCTAGGCGATAGCCGGGTCACATTATGGGCAAGATTTAGAAAACACACTGCGGACAGCTAGTGGACAGGAGAGACGTGGCAGGGTCTGGAAGGACAGGAGAAGTAAAAGAATTACTAAAATCATGACAAGGCTCAAATAATTTCAAACTGGTTTCTTGAACATGACAGTGAATTCACTGTACTCCAATGGCCTCCACAGTCACCAGATCAATTCAATAAAGTACCTTAATTTGCATCGTGGATGTGCCGCCGATAAATCTGCAGAAACTGCATGATGCTATATGATAGAGCTATAATCTACAAGTTTTTCCAGTGTGTGTGTGTGTCATAAGCATGGTGTTCATTGACTTCCAGTTCATAAGGATTGTTTTCTCCTAGTAAGCAGAGGGATGGTGATAGTGGAATGCAGCTACCCTGGAAGACGAATAATGATGAAGTCAAGTCTTTCCAAAACTGGTGAACTGGTGTGCCGTTCCAAATGGCATGAAAATGGTTATCAGGGTTATTTTGTAAAACATGAACAAGTCTCAGATGTGAATCCGATTTCAAACAGTCTTTGCCCAGTGTAATGAATTCTTTGGAGTCCCTTATACCATATGAGTTTTAAGTTGTTTTCTAATTTGTCATAATATTGACGATTTTGCAAATTTGGCTCCAGAAGTCAGCATCAGGAGTGATGGATATTGTTTTGTCTGATTGTGATATTATTTTAGATATTTTGGAATCAAGTTTTGTTGAGGAGGGAATGTTAATTAATTCTTAAGCTGAAGAAGGAAGATCTAAGTTAGTGGATATAATGTTACATTTTGTTTGGATGGATGATTTGAGCTGCAAATATTCCAGAAAGTGTTAGCTCCCGATGCCGTAATACTAACATTTCTGTAGTACCCTACACACTTGTCTCACAGCCGGCTGCTCATACAAAACGTATGTCATTTGCGCATCATTCATTTTGGTGAAAATTAGCTTTTAACTCGTTGTTTACACTACAATTGGAAAGAGGCATCGTGAAAATGTTTCGCTGATGAGTTATTGATCCAGGAAGTTCAGGGCTGTCAATATATTTCCAATTTTACTGAACTTGAAGGGTTCCCACTCTTACGCTGTGAGTTGCAGACAGTTTGTCAGTGGTAACATAGCCATAGGCCATAAAAATATACAAAAAAAGTTTGATGAATTGCAGTGTGCCCCCTGGTTCCCATGTATCCCGAACACTGAAGATCTTTGTCCAGAGTAAGAATTTACAAACTAAATACCTTTTTTATTCAATAAAATCTCATGTTATTTAGTTTAACAAATTTTAGAGGGTTAAAGTGTGAAATAAGTCACAGGTTTATAAACACAAAACAAGAGTTAAAAAAATAATTAAGTTGTGAGATGAGGACTCAAACAAAACAATAACTCATTTTGTTGTGATGGTAAGCACCAGAAATTTAAAAATGTCAGAATGAGCATAGGAATATTTGAAATATTAATAAAAAAAGTGAATAGACTGTAGAGCAGAGAAAGACTTTGGTAAAGTTGGAAAGGTATACTGTATAGAAATGTACTTGACAAGGAATTGGTTCGCTTGCACCGACAGTAAAATATTGCTCCTTAGAAAAAATGTTAAGCAAATTCTATATTGGAATTAATAAATTACAGACTGTTAGCAACTGATACTAGTACTTGGCTGGATGCTGTAACAGTAATTTTAATACAGCTTATTAACTCTAACCTTTTGCACATTGTCCACACAAAGATCTTGTCATGTCTGCTGGATGTGTAGATTCCTTTGAGGTTAATTTGACTAAATTACACTGCCAATACATTTCTAAAAACATCGGATATGATGGAGGGCAGAGAACATCCTGCCTTTGGGCTTCCGAACAAACTCTTGTGATAACTTGTTGGTTGTAAGAGAAACTATGATTGTTTGTTGTTTTATGTATTTGACTTTTGACAGTTTTTAATGTATTTTATTGTCACTGTGGAATTCTGCTTAAACAGAACCACAGATCCATGTTGTGATTATACTCTTGGTATGTTGGTGATTGTGCTGTACAGTGCAGATGAATCCTCCACAGCCTCTTGACGTCTTAATCTGTGAATGAAAAATGTAATTAGTAAATTAAGACTCAGAATAATAACAAGGAGCAAAAATAATGGGAATAAATAAAATTCTCATGGACTCACTCTACTGAAGCACTCGCACTCTTAAAGTTAACAACACTGTACTCCACACCATCGCCGTCCTCCTCCTCTTCATGCTTGTGTCTGTTGCGCTGAGCTGACCTGATGTTGGAGTAGAGAGCATCTTCCTGGTTTTTAGAGAAGCTTACACTGGCGTAGCAAAGGTCGTCTGACTCCTCTGCTGGTTTTCTCTGTACTGCAGCTGAAGGGTTGTTGGACACTGAACCCATTTTAGCTGAAAGGCAACAATTGTATAGACAAAAATACTTAAGTTCTTATCTTCATAAGTATGATTTTATTGGCCTGTAACAATGAGGGGGTTGTTCTGCAGTTTCAGTTACAAATACATCATCAGGCGCTACACATTTCTGAGGTCAACATTTGTCATGTCCTCTGTTGTGGAACCACAAACCTCATTATCAAAGCCAAAAGGTCACTTTGGTTTTTGTTGTTGTAATTCTTACCAGTAGAGGTCATAAAATCAGTGAATGCCAAATTCCCCTTTGTTTACAAAAAGCTAACATGAATGTGTAGGTGGATAGTGTTGGGTTGACGAAAACATTGGTCCTGTCACTTCATCATTTATGACAGAATGACTGTGTCAAATAATTTCCTCCAGCTGAACTCAGACAAAACAGAAATCCTGGTCATCGGGTCTCCAGCAGATGGCAAATCAAATACTGCCATCTGCTGGTTCGCTAGTAAATCACATTAAGCCTGTGGCAAAGAACCTTGGTGTTTGGTTTGATAGTAATTTAAATTTCGAGCAGCACACCACAAAGCTTGTTCAATCATGTTTTTATCAACTTAGAAATATAGCAAAAATTCGATCTGTTAACTTTTAATGACACAGAGACCATTTTACACGCCTTCATCTCATCACGCCTGGATTATTGCAACAGCCTTTTCACCTGTTTAACCCAAAAATCTATTGATCGACTCCAGACTGTCCAGAACTCAGCTGCCAGGCTTTTAACCAGAACAAAGAAATATGACCACATTACTCCTATTTTAGCTTCATTACACTGGCTCCCAGTATGTTTTAGAATTGACTTTAAAATTCTATTGATCACTTTTAAAGCTCTTCATGGCCTCTTGCCTTGTTATATTTCTGAACTTTTAGTCCCATACACACCAGCACGTACCTTGAGATCCTCGGGCAGAGGTCTGTTGTCTGTTCCAGAGTCTCGACTGAAAACTAAAGGGGACAGAGCGTTTGCTGTCAGGGCCCCGAGGCTCTGGAACAGCCTGCCCGAGGAAATCAGGTCGGCTGAGTCAGTGAACTCTTTTAAGTCCCTTCTTAAAACATACTTTTATAGGAGAGCCTTTCCCGATCTTATGTGACTTTATTTTATCCCTTTATTTTATTCTATTTTACTAATTTTATAATGATCTTAAATGTGTATTTTAGTCTTTTCAATGTTTTCATGCTTTTATCTTGTATTGTTTTTGTATTATTGTCTCTTGGGTATTATTGTCTTTACACTTGTTAAAGCACTTTGTAACTTGTTTTTGAAAAGTGCTCTACAAATAAAGATTATTATTATTATTATTACAGGGTTATCACATAGGAATGAACAGGATGAAAGAAGAAGCATGATTCAATTTAGTTTTAAGGTGAGAGTACTATCTGAATTCTTCCTCACCTGTGCTGTGTTGTCTGGTCTCTCTCCAGGCTCTGTGGTTTGTTTTGAGGACATCTTCTTCTGGAGAGGAGAATAAATGAACAAAAAACAAATCATTACATGACATTACTGAACAACTGAGTGAATCTTAGGTGCATTACTGAATATGATCACAGGAAGACTGAACTGCTCACCTAATCAATAGGAAGACACAGAGCAATATGAGAGCCAGAAAAATGGCAGTGATTGATCCAGCAGCTGCTGATTTCATTGAGCCTGGGAAACAGTACAAAACAAAGGCAGTGTAAAAGCCCTGTGCCAATATATTAGTGGTCCTTCATGCTTGGACAATATCTTATTGTGTGTCTGATTATTTTGCTGGAGAGGAGAATAAAGGAATGTATGCACCCCAGGTTAAAGAATAATGATCAATTAATGATTGACTTTGTAGTCAAATATCAAATCTTTGGCCATATGTCTTGGACTCTTGAGCACAGCTGTTAACCTTGTGGCGAAGTAGATCACCTGATGATAGAGCCTGCAGGACAGACTTTGCAGAGAAATTATGTGGAAGTGAACGGGTGTGTATGAAAGTTAATAATTTACCTGCCACAACAGTCAGATGTAAGGTGGAGTTATGACGTCCTCTTCTGTTCTGGGCTTCACAGTAATAATTCCCACTGTGTTCAGCTCTGAAGTCAGTGATGGTGAAGTTCTGTCCTGATGCTTTTGGTGAGTCTTCATTCTCCTTGTACCAGGTATAATTAGCTGCTGGGTTAGCATCACTGCTGCATGTCAGAGTCACTGAACTGCCCTCCACTATCTCACCAGAGGAATTCACAGAAACAGTCTTTGGAGCATCTGGAGGAAAACATGTATAGACAAAGTGTCACCTACTGGGAGGGGCTACAAAGAGGAACATTAATAACACATAATGCATCAGGAGGTGTTGTAATTCATCTGATGCTCCACTTGATAAACTGTGCTGCATGTTCTCAACATGGTAGTGGAGAAACCATGCTTGTTATATGAGAATGTTATATTTAGCCACGTGTTACATCTGCGTTAGCTCGCCTGCCTCTTTGTACTATTTGTGTCTTTCGCCAGAGAGCACATCTAAATGTATTGGATGATAACAAAACAGTTTGTGAGCTGGACTGAAAATTTTAAATGAGATTGTCGCCACACTTAATAACAGTTAGACCGCAGTAAGTAATGTTATTTGTAGTCAATGCATGGACAAATGAGAACACTCCATAAAATAGGCTAACCGGAGGTTCAGATTGTCAAATTTATCTAAATATAATACTTGCATGCATGTTGAAAGATTCTTTGGTCCCTGCAGTCACTCCTCCTCTCCACACTGGCCATGCAGCTGTCCTGTTTTGGCACAACTACACTGTAAGAAGTGAGGGATCAAAATCTACTGTACTCATTCTGGACAAATGCTGTCTGAAGTTTATCCAAAGATAAGTCTCAGTCAGGCTAACTGAGTGAACATATAGATCTATCTGTGACCTCAGCACTCCCCATGTTACACTCTGATTTGGTTTGTCCACTCATCATCTACCTAGTTTGCATGTCTTTGGATGGTGGGAGGAAGCCAGGCACCCTGAGAGAAACCACGCAGACACGGGGATAACATGCAAACTCCACAAAGAAAGGCTGGGGCAACCGGTGTTCGATTCCACAAGCTTCTTGCTGTGAAGCAATAGTGCTAACTACTGCACCACCGTGCTGCTCTGATTTGGTTTGTGATCTACACAAATCTTAGGAGAGAACTCAAAACATTTATCCTTTAGTAATTATCCAGCAGCAGCGTGTGTTTTCTAAAGCATTTTTTTGATCTCACAGATGTCTACTTTCTATCTGTACAGATAGAATGTTAGCTCTTTGCTAAGCCAATGTTTTATCCAATATTTTTGAATCTATCTCTCTCTATCTCGCCCTCCCTCAGTATTGGTCTCTGACTTGGTCTCGGTTTGGACGGTCTTGACTACAATACCACATGTTGCTCTACGAAGGTATCTCTTCTTTGCCAGGCGGAATGATTAGTGACCAAAACCAAATTTAACATACAGTACAAATGGCATGTTAGAATTAAGAAATCCGAAATACTCCTTTAGACCACTAGTGATGCTACTTTAGAACATGATATTATTTCTACCAGCCTGAGCTCATCAGACATTTACATCCACTATCTGTAAGTAAACTTCCAAGCGCTTTGCTGATGTTTTGTACTTACACTGGACATCTATGGATACAGATGTGGAGTTGATCTGGCCATACTCATTCTCAGCCTTGCAGTGGTAGATCCCGCTGTCCTTAGAGCTGATAGAGGTGAAATGATAAATTTCTCCTGGTCCCTGAATCAGTGTTTGGTTCTCCTTGTACCAGGTGTATTTAGCTGCTGGGTTAGCATCACTGCTGCAGGTCAGAGTCAGTGAACTGCCCTCCACTATCTCAGCAGAGGGACTCACTGACACAGAGGGAAGCTTTGGAGCATCTGGGGGACAAAAGAGAGACAACTTGTCAATATTTCTTTAATCATATTTTTTGGAAAAGATAGTTTTGAATGTGCTACCTCAGATTTGTTAAGTGATCCACTGATTGGCAGTGTTTGTCACATTCTGACCATAAAGAAAAGTTTAACCACATAATTAACCATCTGGTTTCTTTTTTCACTCAGGAGCAAAAATTTCCCTTTAAACTTGAAAGAAATAATGATTTGACATTTATCGTGATAATCATCGATATCGAATGATATGAAATATTGTTATCGTGATAACATTTTTGGCCATATCGCCCAGTCCTACTACTACATGCACATAGTGTTTGCTCATTGGTCCATTCGTGAAGCCTGTTGTCTTTAGAGACAACACTGTAAACAAGAAGAGGCTGTGGAGATTAAACTCGTGGACTGGCCGTTGGCCTGATGGCTGTTTTAGCCTGCTGTTAATTATAAACTTGACCAGCGGCAGTGATGATATAGCGATATCTGAATCCGCTTTATTGTCAGGTATGTGTACAAGTACGAGGAATTTGACTCTGGAAAATGCTCACGATGTGCTTACTTATACAATAATATAATAAGACAATAATAATAAAACACAGCCTACAGTATAGAGAACACATAGGCTACACACACAGATTGACACAATAGTGCAATAATATATATGCAATATATTACAGGAGAATCCAGACCACAGTCACGTCTCACTTCTCAGCTGCAGTGCCAAAGAGAATATAAAAGTTGAATCTGTCACAGGGCAGCCACAGTCCCATAGACCTGTAGACCGTCGGCCTCCCGCCTGCTTTTAACCTGATGGTATGATCTCTGTTATCACACGCGACTGGTCGCATGCACACACACATCAACACAGCGGTCAGTCAGTAAATGAAACAGGAGAACGATGCTGTAAAATTACAGAAATCTTCATGATTAAGGGACACCGTGTTACTACTAACAGTGCCGCCTTTATATCACATCATATCGTCAAATCACAGCTACCTTTCCAAAGTTAAGTCTGTTTTTTAATAAAAGTAATCATACCATGTAGGAAAGCAGAAGATGCTTTTGTATGGGAATAATCTGGAAAATAAAGGCCCGTGTACTCATTTTAGGTGGACATATCTCCAGTTACTCAGAGCAACCAGAGCTTCATGATGATAAACATAAATCCACACAGTGCTCTGAGGAAATGCAAATGCAAAACAAACAATCCAAAGTGCCCAAAGGCCTATATAAAACTTTAATCCTGTTGCCTTAATTGTGGATTTTTTCTTAGACAAAATCATTTATTCTTTGCCCTTTGTTTCTAATGCAGATCATTTTTCTACTCTGTATTACAGTAGTTACTGCTGTGAATAATAAACAGTTTCTGATGCAGCACTTTTAGTACACTGTAACTGATTTTTGAACATTTTGAACAGTATTTTACTGTAGTAGGTGCAGTAAAATACTGTATATATACTTTACAGTAGATTACTGTAAATAGCAAAGAATTATGGAAAATATTTCCTCACTACTGTAATTCTTCTCTACTGTGTGTTCTTCTCTCAGTGTCACTGTGGAGAAGTGACACTGAGTGTCACTGTGTCTTGTGGAACAAATAGAGCAGGGGTAAGCAAATAAGTCTGGCTTCCGGCCAGATTTATTTCAAGCTGTTACATGGCGGGCTAGAACATAGTAAAATTATTTGAAATGCTTGGATACTCGTGTGCACGTTTAGCTCAGTCGGTAGTTTTCAGGACTCCTGGGCCCTGTGTAAAGGTTCAAATTGACAGTAAGGTTTTTAGAGGTCTATTTAACATTAATAACATCTCATTCATTTCGTATTTAATGAAATTATGTCCAAACACATGACGATATGCAAAAAAATGTGTTTAGTTTTACAGTCTCAAAATCAATTTATAGTTAATGTAAGTTAAAGGTGCGTTGTGTAGTTTTAATTGGCTTCTAGCAGTAAGGTTGTCTATAACATGTAGTTATCAACTGATCGGCGTTTGCAAGCAAGTTAACATTATCTAGTTTGAACCAACTAAAACACAAAATCGCACTGTTTCACATGATCTGCAGTAATGTTGTGCACATAAATGTCATAGACTTTGTAAAACAATGGATTTTCGCAGAAAATCCAACCAGACCTTCACATAGAAAACAGTAGGCCTATTCAGGCTGTTATAGGCAACTTAGAAAGTTGGTGGATGCCTCACTTTTTAGGTGAGGTTATAAACTGGTCACATATAGGCAATAAAAATGTTATTAATATATTTAAGTTCCTTTTAAAAACTCCACAATGTCCCTTTTAAAGGTGTGTTGCTGACATGACCGGTTACAGCTTAAAGTGGCGCGTCAGTCTTAAAATATGTTGTAGAGGTCTTGAAAAAGGTCTTAAAAGGTATTGAATTTTATTTTACGTAAAATAACTAATATCACAATATGGAATGTTGTAAGATTTTCTTCAGACAAGAATCCCAAGTGAATGAATCCAACGGACTTTGGTGTGTGAAATGACAAGACATGTCTCAACAACTATTGGATTGATTTCTAGAAAATGTTATGTTTTGCAGGCATAGGGTCATAAACCAAATTCCTTTCAATCTCAGCTCACTTAATTGATCTGTGCTTGCTGTACCATCCTGCAGGTACCTTCTGTGGTCTTTATCATGCCATCACTCTTCACATTAACATAGGTGTCTCTTTGTACTTTGAATAAGTAAATGTTTTACAATTAAAAAGCATATTGTAAGGACAATGTTCATGTTGTAATCTTTTGGGTGAAATATGTGGTTTGCAGTGCTGTCCTGAAATTGGATTGTTAAGTTAAAGGTTTTTAAATGTGGATTTTGTTTAATGGAAGTTACTTAGAAGTAACTATTAGTTAAACTAATTCAAAACATTAAATTACATTACAGTAAATGAAAGTACTGTAAATGACAATACGGTAATAATACTGTAAATAAATGAAAATACAGTAATGATACTGTGAATGAAATTACAGTAATGATACTGTAATTGAATTTACAGTAATGATACTATAATTTCATTTACAGTAATGATACTGTAAATCGAATTACAGTCGGCATCCAGCTGCCAGTAAGTTACTGTAAAATTTAGGTAATTTAAGTTGTTACTGTGATGTAGAGACAGAGCTCAGTTAAAACTTTA